ACTATTCAATTTCGAATGTAGAACTTTGTTGACACTCACTATAGTGTGGTAGCTATTTTCTTTAGGGTGGTAAATTTTGTGAAAAAAATGTGGGCAGTTGTTGTATGTCAGGAAGAGAACTTCAAAAACGTTTACCTTTTTAACTTGCCTTTTCATGAAAGTGAGCTGATTGATTGGATCAGGTTCATTAAGTATTTGGTATGTACTCCTTGAGACTGAACGTATCTTGGTTTTCACACACCATTTTAAAGATTACTTAGTTCGATCTTGATGATTGATTATTGGATCTATTTAAAAGGTTATACTAATACTATAACTGATCTGTCAGCAAGTGTCTGTCATTTTAGTCTTCTGGGTTTGTAATATCTTTGACTCCTGAATTTTATAGCAGGAGAGAATATTCCAGTTAACGAGCTTGATGATAATGTGGTGGAAATGTATATAGAGGATATGAGGGCTAACTGTGAAGAAATGTTTATCCCATTTAAGACTCTATGCAAAAGAAAAAGTGTAAGCTTTCTCTTCCTTTAGTAGGTTAGATGTATCTAAAGGTAGAATGGTTGTCATATGTGCTAATGTCTGATTATCCTGTAGGTTGAAACTGTGGTGTTGGAAGGGGATAATCCTGCAACAGTGCTTCTAAAATATGTAGCTCAGGCTGGGATTAATAGTCTAGTGTTGGGCTCTTCCTCTCCCAGTTACTTTGGCAGGTATGGCATAGGATCAAGATGGCTTGGATATGCATTTGTTAGAGATGTATAATGTGTTATATCGGTTGTATAACAGTGCTCAATAAGATAATGGGTTATTGCAGTAAGGTTTCTATCATGCTCATATTCTTTTCCATGGTATGGAAGCCAGAGACATTATGTGTTCGAATTTCATTGCCTCATTCATTACAGAATTTTCAAATTTTCTGACCTATGGAAACTAGTACCAACTGCAATATAAATAATAATAAAAAAGGTTTCACTTATCTAACAAATTAAATTGGTGGATATGGAGAACCATCCAGCTTGTATTTGGTGAGTGATATAGAAATAAAGAAATCAACGATGTTTCGGGAGAAAGGAAGAAAACATTCCAACACTAAAGTACAATAGCATTTCACTTTTCACTTGTTGGTGTAAAATGGAAAATGTATGAGGTTGCTAGGCTCATAGATTTTCTCAGTACTCTCACTGATTAGTAGTGGAACTGTGTTTTCTGTCAGGCGACATTCGTAACATATAGCACCATCTTAGTGCTGGTGGAGTAACAGAACATTTGCTTACCATTTCGAAAAAATTAAACTTCGATCAGAGATTGTCATACAATTCAACAATTTAACTGTCCAGTTATAATTTAATACTAGAATTTTGACTGGTAATATTGAGGTCCTGTCCTGATGATTACATTTCATCAAGAGTGACCCAAACTGTAGTCCATCATATGATTAATCTAATTGTTTTGCGCAAGCTCCATAGTTGGAGTTGTGTTAATCTGATGATTTTGATCTATGGGAAACAACTTGACCTTTCACATGATACTATGGTGATTCTTGATTTTCAATTGTTAATTGTGCCAAACTTATAATCAATTTTAACCAGGAAACAGAAGGATGGAGATGTACCATCAGCTATCCTCAAGCATGCTCCTGAGTCTTTTGATGTTTATGTGGTGTTATCAAATGGACTTGTTAAAAATTCCTTGAATCCCTTGTTATCTACTGGTACATAGAAAAGCTCAGTCATTTACCTTGTTCTCCTTGGTCATCTCTTTCTGCCTTCCCTAGGACAGTAGTTTCTAACTTCCAACAAGTATTTCTATTCTGAAACAGAGACTGAACTTCATACTATCAATCAACAAGAATCCATTGTGTCTTGTGCCTCGATGGATTTTCATAGCAGAGCATCATCACTTGCAGACTTTACACATCTCAATCCTCCAGCATTTTTACATGGGAACACTTCTAATCATATCAGTCCTCAGCAAAGATACATTCAAAATCTAGAAGAATCAGCAGCTGGTCTGGAGGCAGTCAAGAGTAGCCATTTTTCCACTTACTCAGAACATGTGAGTTTGACCTTTTCTTTAATTCTTTTTAGCAAGCTCTCTCTTGAATATTGTACGTTCTTTTTCCAATATCATATTAGAGTATAATATATGTGTAACCGGAAACGTATTAGTATGTTGAGGTAGTTTTTTGATGTCATTGAGCAGTTAGACATTCAGGTTGAAATGGGAAGATTGCACTTAGAGTTGCGAAACACCATAACATTGTACAACCAAACATGTGAACATCTGATCCATGCCCAAAACAAGGTAAAATCTTGATCTATTTTATTTTACCTCGAAATGAGTAATTCTTGAGTGCTCTTCTTTCATACTGAAATGAACACAACGAAAGCAAGGGGTTTGCCTTCTGGGTCGAGCTTGTCGCACCAGGCTTGCCTAGTGCGGGTTACCTCTCCTATGTAGTTTGCGAGCTATTGCATAGGAGCGGGGTTTTTACCCTGTGCGCACCCAAAGGGTAGCGGATGCGGGTTTCCCTTGTCATAAAAATAAAATAAAAATGAACACAGTAGTTTTATGCTGTCTGTCAGAATCAAGTTCTTATTTATCCTAATTTGAGTTCCATTTGAAGTGACGGTGGAACATTATGAGGAGTATAGTAACTCAGCCTCTAGGGAAAAATACCTATTGCCTGACCATATTCTCGTTCACTGTTGCTATCGACATATCAGAACATGACTCTCTGACTGTCTTTCAGGTCCAATTACTTTCCTTGAAATGCTGTGAAGAAACAAGAAGAGTGAATGCAGCCAAGGAAAGAGAAGAAAGCCTAAGGAAAACAGCTGCTGAACTGAAGAAGAAACATGTAGAAATTGAGAAGGAAGTTGAGATAGCGAGAAAGTTGCTCGCTGAAGAAGCTTGTGAGAGGCAGATAGCAGAGTTGAAGGCTCTCCAACAGTCCTTAGAAAAACAAAAAGTTGTCGATGCACTACTTTCATGTGATGGCAGGTATAGGAGACTGACTAGAGAAGAGATTCAGGTGGCTACTGATTCTTTTTCCGAGTCTAAGATAATTGGTGAAGGAGGATATGGGAAAGTTTACAAAGGCAACCTTGATCATACCCCTGTTGCCATCAAAGTTCTTCATCCGAACGCATCATTAAAGAAAGAGGAGTTCCTAAAAGAGGTTCTCTTTCCCATATTTTTTTGGTTATTCAATATTTATGCATTCTTGGCCTTGGCTGCTTGCCGTTCATAGCGCATGTGCATTTTTGTCTGAAACACTTCTGTAGCATTATTATCTGCACAAAATAGTACTTCCTACTACATATCATTAATAGATTCCTCTCATCTCCTCCTTTTCTTTTAAAGAGCTACAGCCAAATATTCTCTGATTTTGTATATAAATGGGGCTTGTTTAGTACCTCACAAGATGCCTATGTCATGCCAGTAAGTTTTTCACTTCAGGGAACTGAGGCAATATCATTCTGGCTAAACTTCCAACTTTTGATTAATTATGTATTCGATCATTTGTAGGTTGAGGTTCTAAGCCAGTTGCATCACCCACACATTGTTTTAATGCTCGGAGCCTCTCCAGGAAATGGCTGCCTTGTTTATGAGTATATGGAAAATGGAAGCCTGGAAGATCACATTTTCCCAGGAAAAAACAGACCTCTTCCCTGGTTTGTTCGATTCCGGATACTTTTTGAAGTGGCATGTGCTCTTGCATTCTTGCACAACTCAAATCCTGATCCTGTCGTTCATCGAGATCTAAAGCCAGGAAACATATTGTTGGACAAAAATTACGTGAGTAAAATCGGAGATGTGGGTTTAGCAAAAATTATGTCAGATATTGTTCCAGAAAGTATTACTGAGTATAGGAACTCCATTCTTGCTGGCACCTTTGCTTACATGGATCCAGAGTATCTAAGAACTGGAACTCTGAGACCTAAGTCTGATCTGTATGCTTTTGGAATAATAACACTTCAACTATTGGCGGCTTGTCATCCTAATGGCCTTATTATGAAATTTGAAGAAGCTATAGACACTAATTCGCTCGCAGATGTACTTGATAAGTCAGTTATAGATTGGCCATTGATTGAAGCAGAGGAGCTATCTAAGATGGCTCTACAATGCTGTAAGCTTAGATGCAGAGATAGACCAGATCTTGAGACTGAAGTTCTTCCACTTCTGAAAAAACTTTTCGAATTTGCAGAGATGCATGTCAGGGTACAGGGAAACCTTAGGGCACCTAGCCAGTACTTCTGTCCAATCCTTCAGGTAAGAATTCAAATTCGACGAGATAATCTAATAATTTGTGAATTGCTCTTTTCTGCAACCTTGAATCTCATTCCGCTGTCTGCTCTATTATTCTGCAACATCTTTGCAGGAAGTAATGGAAGAGCCACATATAGCAGCCGATGGCTTTACATATGAGCACAGAGCAATAAAGGCATGGGTTGACAGACATAACGTTTCACCTGTGACGAAACATATATTACAGCACAAAATGCTTACCCCAAACCACACGTTACACCTTGCAATACAAGATTGGAGGTCACGTTAAAAACGGAGCCTGAATTCAAAAACACTGTAAATTGTGCATAAATCATAGCCAAATAAGGCCTGGAGAAGCTATTAAAGGAAAGATTGGAAGGAAAACAATCCATACATATTTTAGATGTTGTTGGAAGGGTGTCAAGAGAACAAAAGAGAAGTGTCACTCTTGTTCATTGACATTACTCAAAAGTGTATAGTACCAACAATTGTAGTTTTGTAAACATTATATTGCTTGTGATAGTAAAGAACCCAGAAACACGTAGACTGCTTTCTTTGCATTTAGCATTTGTACTGAAAAAAGCCTTCGTTTTTCAAATTCTGAGGATGAAAAACAAATGACATACATATTGTCGTTCAACCTTACGAGTCTGCTAATGTAATGTCATCAAACGCAGTGATGCTGAACAAGTGATACATCATGGTGGCATAAAGCTCTGCAGATGGTGTTATTTAAATATGAGTAAACAGAACGCTTATTCGCGAAAATTGTATTAACCACAGATGTTCAAATCATATAAATAGCACATGACATTTGTGGGGATTGATAAGCCATAACCACTAATAGCTGAAGTGCTTCAAAGAGCTATTGATTCTACTTGTTGAATATCCCCTATATGTATATTCACAATAGCTGTATATTTAACAATATAAGGATTGCAAATTGGAGAGCAAGCAGTCCAGATCCTGTCAAGCATCAACTTGAGTAAATTCTAGTGCATTAGTATCAGGGTCTCGAGTGAAAATGGCTGGTCTCCCAGAGCGACTAAGGGTGTAGGGAATGCCTGCAAAGGAAAACAAAGAGCAGAATATATATATATATATATATATATATATATCCAAAGTCTTTTCTTTTACCATTTTCAAGTCAGAAGGTGAAACAGGAATAAGGTAAATGAATTACCAGCTTTATCAAGAATAGCTTTCAGCTTAGACACATCGCGAATTGCTATGCAGGTATGACGATCTCTGCCCCCATGCTCAGGTCGGCCGGTAAAGGGATCTGGATTTGGAAGCTCCATAAGATGTATCATTTCAGAACCCACCCACAACCAAGCACCTCTGTAGGGAAGCTTTTCATGTGGTCTTGCCTCATTTATTTCTAGTCCTGATCAATCCATGAACTTTCAGAACTACAAAATTATGTATTTCAACTGTAATTTTAGTCTTCCATTTAGAAAGTAAAGTGTGATTACCAAGAATATTCTGGTAAAAGTCTAATGACCTCTCAAGGTTTTCACATAGTATTCCAACGTGGTGCATGCAAACAACTCCGAAATCTGCACTAAATCAAAATAATAATTCAAAATCAGACGAACAATATGTTAGAAGACCAGTTCGACCTAACAATCTTCACATTCTATATTCGGTGATCAAATATTTTATGTGAAAGTGTTCTGGTGTAAACCTATCGACCCATATGAAACTAAGACCTTGAAAGATGGTATAAATTTACCAATAAAATGTGTATTCACTATGTCACGTTATGTACCCTTAAGCTGAACAATTAATAGATTATGGCCACTGACTCACTGTACATGTATCAAAATCTCGAACTAGAATATCGCACCTCCAACTTACGTTTATTAAGATAGTTTGGAACTATAACCTTTTGTCCGAGTCTATAAATTTAGGATTACAAAAGTAGGAACAGGTTCACTTATTCTCTCCGCACGGTAACGAAACTAGTACTATATCCCATGCATGACCAAAGGGGTACAAAGGATTTCATGGATTCCTCAACAATAACTATTTCTTGAAGGATCTATAGAGGAATATAGAGAAATCCAATGAAAATTTTGACTGTGTGCTGCTTAAAATGGAAAAGAAAGATCACCCTTATCATCAACAGCATCGGTGCCTACAGAATCATTCGCCAGCATATCCGTTTCCACTGATGTTTTAGCTCTCATCAGCAAACAACTCCTGTGGCTCCATCGTGTTGAAGATGGCTGAAATTTTTTGCTTGGTATTCCACTAGTAGATGCAGCGAGGACACCCCCAGGATTCAGCTGAATATAGGGAGGGGTTTTTAAGAACATATCCAGAAAGCCAACCAAGTGAAAGAGACAATGAACAAAACGCATCAATAGTGGTACTACAGGTGAAGCTGCCTTTTATATCATTCTTGAGTCATCCATTAGTAGGAAAATACAAAGTGTGATTGGCGTATAGGATAACTAAAAGCATCATAAAATGCTGTTTCAAACGAAAAACTGAAAGAAAAACTGTAAACACAATGGAATAGAATTCAATGCTTTCCATAGTCTCCAATTACATAGAAAGCAGTAATTGGAACATAAAAAGCACAAAACAAATAAGCTTCTAAATTTGGTAACAAACAAGACATCAACTTTGTTTTCTTTTCTTTTTCTCTTTCTTTGATCAAGGAGTTAACTCTGGTTTCCTACTCTTTAATTACAACTGTGAATGACAAAAAATGAGACTCAACCTAATAAAGAATGGAGAAGAACCAGCTAATCTTGATTCTTTTTGCAACCGAGAAATCCCAATAACGCAGGGTAATACAAAACTGAATGGATGATGAGCCCGCCCCTCTGCCCTTCTCCACTTAAATTAACTCACACATTACAAGTTTATCTCTTACCACTAGACCAAAGCACTGGGGGGCCATCTAATCTGGAAATTTTCTCAGATATTAGACAAAAACCTTATAATCAATCAATGATTAGTTGGCAAAGACATACGTCTATCTACCAAAGGAAGGCCTATTTAAAACTATATTTTGATACAAACCATTGCACTAAGCTTATAAGTTATAACCAATTTGCTAGTAAAAAGAGGCCTTGGGTGTTGTAGTGTCTTCCAATTGTAAAACCCATAAATTATCTACTCCAAAATAGAGCTTAATCTTTCCTTACTATCTGATTTTTGTACTAATTTTTTAATAGACCTCAGCTAATGAATTCTCTTGTTCATCACCGGATATTGATAGAACACAATCACACCAAAAAGAAAGAGGAAGGGGCTCCATTTTGTTTAAATCTTAGGGTAAGCAGCTACCTACATATCAAAGTTTCACTGGCAGTCACAGACAGCTAACTCCTCAATTCAAGCACATGTTTTTTTATCAAAAGGAAATAAATGTCAACAGTTGAAAATGAATATGTAAATATATTTACCTTGTTTTGAGGCAGAGTGAGAGGTGGGTTCAGCAGAGAAGCCATTGAAGACTGATTTTTTCAATTTTGGGTGTCTGGGTTTTATTTATTTCGCTAATAATATTAGATTATGTGATGGCTCCATTTGAGCGGCTCAAAATATTCAGCCTAACTGCACCACTTGTTTTCTCTTGGGTCAAATGACTCAAATCTATAACATGTGGAAACTTCTTTCCTCCATTTTTATTAGCAAAATTACTAATCTCTAAAAATTTCTATCATTTAAATTAATATAAAAATATAAAAAAAAATTCTCCCATATAATATCCGGATGCATCACTCCATCTCTATCAAATATATTATAATTTTATTTATATAAAATTATTGTTTATACATATTCCCAATTATTTCAAACTTAAATTAGTATGAATTTGATCTATAGTTATGCATTTGCTATATAACTTATATATTGTTTGTTATATATTGGATAAAAAAGCAATACATTCGCGGGTTTTGAAAAATTTAATTGTTATAATTTGAAAAACTTTCGAGATAGAGGGCCAAAATTGTTGAAACGGATCCCATCCAGTTAAATTAGCTCCAGTAATGTCCGGTAATAGCTTTAGATGATGCCACCTAGACAAAATGAAATCTAAAGGCTAGAAATTTTTGCTTCTAAAATTAAATTTCACGCCGTTAATTTTCTCTTCTCCACTGTATGGTACTCCTTTCATTTCAAATTAATTGAATTATTGAGATATTTTTTATTTTTCAAATTAACTTAATTATTTAATTTTCAAGACTACTTTGAGAATGTTCTTTCAATTTTACCCTTCATTAGTTAGTATTGAAATTAGTTATTAATTAATGTTCAGTTATTTTAATCACAAATTTGACAATAATTAATAAGGGTAAAAATGGAAAATTATCTCAAATTTATGTCTTAAACTTCTTTTTTTTAAAGGGTGTGAAACACCTCAACAATTTTATCAATTTGAAATTGAGGGAGTACAAACTAAAATTGCAGAAGTTAAAGTAGTAGTTTTGCTCAATCACTAAAATTGTAGGATAGCTCCAAATTATTTTATTCTTCCATAGAATTAGTGGCAAAGTTAGAAATTTCATTAAGGGTGTTAAAGATTTATTACATATGTATGAAATTTTATTTTTTTACCTATATACTTGATACAATTTTTAATATGTATAGTATGATTTTTCGACAAAGGATGTCTGGCTAACCACCTGGATGGAAATGGATCCCCTCCAGTTAAATTAGCTCAAGTGGCCAGACACCCTTTGTCAAAAAATTATACTATTTATATTAAAAAGTTTACGAAGTATACATGTCAAAAATAATTTTATACATATATAATAAATATTAAGTACCCTTAATGAAATTTCTAACTTTACCACTAATGCCGCGGAAGAATAAAACAATTTGGAGCTATCCTACAATTTTAGTGATTGAACTTCTTAACTTCTGCCATTTTAGTTTGTACCAAGCAGTGGAGAAGAGAAAATTAACGGCGTGAAATTTAATTTTAGAATCAATAATTTCTAGCCTTTAGATTTCATTTTGTTTAGGTGGCATCATCTAAAGCTATTACCGGACATTACTGGAGCTAATTTAAATGGATGGGATCCGTTTCCAAAATTGTTTGGGACACCTGACCATTTCTCGACAAGTTGATTAAGTTTTAATCAGACTTTTTAAATTATTTAAATTAAGCATAGTTTAACCAATTGTGCCATCTTCTTGTCGGCTTCTTAATGTGAGGTGTTCCTAGTTTAATTAAAAATTGATCCAAATGGAAATGATATTATATTTACCTAGTAAAATTTGTATCACTTGTTTATTTAAGCTAAATAATAATAATAATAATAATAATAAAATATGGTATATTTATGTATGGTTTATAACTGAACAATTGAATTAAAATAGATACTAACCAAATTGATAAATATAAATTATATTTGATTTGATTTAGTTTATTAATTTAAAAATTAACTAAATTAATTTGATTTTGATTTTTACAAAAAAAAAATCGAGCTAAATCGAGCTAAATCGAACCATGAACAAGCATAGCCAATGAATATTTTCATGTCGCAATCAAACATATTATCAAATCATATAAGTTTCATCACTATTATTTTTACAAGTGTATTAATTGAAGTCTGAACTACTCAACTCTAATTTAAAGATAGATAATTTTGAAATTCAAGCTGTGCAATTTAAGTACAAAACACAATTTCATAAACATATGCATCATTTTAGTCCAAAAAAATAAATTACATCAAATTTGTCACTATTGATGTTGCTTCTTCTTTTTTTCTCTTTGAAATCAAACTTTGAACTTGTAGCTTTTTTTAATTAGTAGATAAAAGAAGAAACAAAAAAGGGCCCAATGGAGTCCCGAAAAGATGTTGCTAAATCTTATGCTCATTTTTTTTTCTTTTTCTTCAATGATCTGAGAACCATAACAATTAAATTTTAGAACACAAACTTGAAATTTAAACTATGAAACTTCAAGATACAATGTCCCTGAAGTTTAAATTGAAAATACCTAACTTTAGGATACTAAAGTCTAACCTAAAGTTTAAATTGAAATATGAAGTTAAGGATGTTGAAGGAAGTTGATGGAACATGTCAAATGAATAGGCTCAACGAAGTTGACTGATGAGTTAGAGTTCACTAGGACTAGACTACTGAATTCTAATTTATGTATGACTAAGCTGATGTAGTCGATTAGGATAAGGTGTCTCACGTAAATAATATATTTGTGTTGTAGTAGGACTGCTAGTGTAGCTAGTATAGGACTCTTCTCCTATATAAGGAGTATGTAACTCAACAAATTAATCATCAATACAATCTTTGATTTCTCCATACTTTACGTGAGAATTCTACATGGTATCAGAGCATTAAAGTTTTTCCGCTCTTTAACGTATTAGATCAAAACCAAAACAACCACAATATCGAATTACAATGGCCCTTTCTACCAACACTCTTTTGACCTCCTCACTTCATCATCTTATTTCGTCCTGCTCTATTAAACTTAAGCGAACAAACTATATTATATAGATGACACAAATGTCTCAGTTGATTCAAGTGATGAGATTAACCTACCTCCTCACAAAGAATGAACCAACTAAAGGTACATGTTCCACTGGACAGACTACTGAGAAAGTTGTAGCAGTCAAGAAGGGTGCAGAAGACAACAACATTATTGATGACTGGGAGGAGAAAGATGTGTTGCTAAGGAGTTGGATCTCAGGCACCTTTACAGAAGAGAGCATGTACCTGATCGTAGGCTGCTCAACTGCCAAGGAAATGTGAGAATGCTTGGAAGAAGTTTATCTTCAAGAAACAAAAGATAAGGAGTTTCAGCTCAAACAACAACTGCAAAGTGTAAATCTAGGAACCAAAATGATTGATGAATATATTGAGAAATTCAAAGGCATATGTGATGGACTTGCAACCATTCACAAGCTTGTAGATAAAGATAACAAAGTAATTAACTTTGCTAGAGGTCTAGGTCTCAAGTACAAGACCTTCAAGACTGTCATGGTAAGGCACCATATCCTACTCTTAATCAATTTGTTAATGCTCTCAGGGGTTTTGATAAGAGGGAGGATGAAAAAGAAGTGCCACAACATAACCATAACATGGTATTCTCTGCCCAAAGGGGCAGGGGAAGAGGAAACTACTCTCAAAGAAAAGGAAACAATAACTTCAATTCCAGAGGAAGAGACTTCAAGTCTGCTGGACAAGGAACATGTTCTTATAACAACAAAAATGGACCAGGTCCTCAAAACAGTCCTTCAAGTGGAAGTCAGGAGAGGAATAATACTGATGTGTGTCACATTTGTGGTAGGAATAACCATACCGCTCTTAAGTATTTTTACAGGTGGAATTACTCTTACCAATCCACAAATGAGCTACTACAAATATTGGCTGCTACTAATCTACAAAACACTACTGATGACACCTTATATGTGATCTCAGGAGCAAGTAGCTATATGACACATAATTCAGGTATCCTAACCGATCTTAAACACTACACTGGGCCAGATAAAATCATTATTGGGAATGGATCAAAAGTCGACATAACACATGTTGGGAACATATTCGGATCAAGCCTAAAGTTAAAAGAAATTCTTGTGGTTCTTAAGATTAATAAAAATCTACTCTCAGTTAGTAAGCTTGCAAAGGATAATTGTTGCACTCTTGAATTTGATGAAACTAACTTCGTTGTAAAGGATAAAAAGACAAGGACACTGCTGGCCAAGGGATATAAAAGGAATGGACTTTATGCTTTGAAAGATAACAATCTCTATGTTTTAACTGCTGCACACGATTGGAACACGTCAGACAACATGTGGCATACTATATTAGGACACCCTAATTTGAAGTCTTTAAAAGTTTTGAATAGTAATAGCTGCATCAATGTTAGTAGTTGGAATAAAATGTCTATTGTTTATTAAGAAAGAACCTTTATTGAAAATTCATTGTGACTTGTGGGGACCTGCTCCTATCGAATCTTCTCAACATATGAAATATTATGTCATTTTTTTTATATGATCACATAAGATATACATGGATTTATCCACTGAAAAAGAAATCTGAATTCTTTGAGGTCTTTGTAAAATTCCAGAAAATGGTGGGAAAATAATTTTGTAAAGAAATTAAGATATTTCAGTGTGATGAATGTGGTGAATTTATTAAAGCAGACTTCATCAAGCATATGGAAGGTTGTTGTATTGTGAGACATATTTCATGTCCCAACACACCTAACAAAATGGTGTTTCAGAAAGAAAACATAGACATATTGTGGAGACTGGATTAACTATACTACTCCATCCTAACCTACCTTTGTTTCTATGGGTTGAGGCTTTCCTCACATCAGTGTTACTCATTAATCGAATGTCCTCCTCAGTCCTAAAGATAGTGACTCAATTTGTTAAGTTGTATGGAGAACAACCTGATTACAACAGCCTAAAGGTGTTTGGATATAAATGTTTTTCATATATCAAGGGTAGAAATAAGTTCAATCCAAAGACTTATCCTTGTGTGTTCATAGGATACAACAGCT